ATGAAATGTAATCTGTATTCTGACGTGTGGTTGGAGAATGGTTGACTATTATTAAGTTTGAACGTTTCCTCATTTATTGTATCTAAGTTTCGGTTTGTATTGTGTGGTCCGGCTATAAGTTGAATGGAATTGCTTGAGTCCTGGCGAGAGCTAGGCAGGCGTCCCGCGGATACCCTTTGGTTCGCCTTAGGGAGAAGTGGGGGCGTCACAATATTTACTCCTCACACTCCATGAATGCCTAAACAATTATTTTTTAAAAAATAAGATTTTACTAAAGATTGCTTTTAGTAAATGAGAGATCTGCAAAACAAATATTGTGCGAAATTTAATTCTCTAGGAGCTCGCGTTTAGTACTCTAAGAAAACAAATCTTTTTTAAATTTAATTTTGTAGAAGTTCGCTAGAAGAAAGCAAATATTATTTTACTTTAACTTTTTTAAGAGCTCGCTTTTATTAAATTAAATGACAATATACAAAGTGGTCAAAAAGAGCAAAATAATTGTAGTTACAATAAATAGTTAAAAAATATTTATTTCCTCTGACGGAACAAATATTTTTCATATCATGATAGCTGTAACATAAAAAAAATTTTAGAGCTCCAACTAAGCAAATTTTTTTTTTTACAAGTCACTAACCTCGCATTTTCGAAATGTGAGGTCATGGACCTCGCATTTTCGAAATGCGAGGTCAATGTTAACTCTTTTTTTTTTTGGCTTTCTGGGTGGAAGGAATTGCATTCTCAAACTGCCCCCTTTGCAGAAATTTTTTAAAATTCATCATAAATTTGGAATTTTTACAAGTCATAATTTTTTTTTTACAATTCATCATAATTTTTTTTTACAAGTCACTAACCTCGCATTTCCGAAATGTGAGGTCATGGACCTCGCATTTTCCAAATGCGAGGTCAATGTTAACTCTTTTTTGTTTGTTTTTGGCTTTTCTGGGTGGACAGAATTGCATTCTCAAATTGCCCCCTTTGTAGAAATTTTTTAAAATTCATCATAAATTTGGTATTTTCTCCGCAGACAAAAGCCATAAAATGATAGTAGCTGGTTGCATTGAAGTCAACCTTGAAGTTTATTTTCTTTCCATTTTTTCTTCTTGTTCCCTTTTTGGGAGTATAATAGTCTTGCGTGGAAAATGATACACAAGACTGTTCTTTCTTTTTTTTTCTTCTTTTAAATAGTCAAAACATGGGATAGAAAAAATGATGCGGAAGCTGGTAGAAGGAATGGTTTCACGAGCTTTTTCCAAAAATAACAAAGGAGCGATTCAAGAAAACAAAATTTCAACAAAAAACAGAAAACGATAAAAAAGAAAAGAAAAACAAAATGCTACACTGATGAAGTCCGATGCCAACGTTGGCGTCGGTCCTCCTCTGAAGGGAAGTCCGGCGCTGATATTCGGACTTCCTCTGAAGTCGTGGCCGTGCAACTTCCGTTTGCTCTCTCTTTTGCCTGCTACATTTTGTCTAAAACCTTCCCATCAACTTGTTCTATATCAAAAAACAGTAGTGGGATAACCTTGAGAAGATATGCACACCTAAAAATATATTTATGAAGTTTATCACCTTTGTTTAGTAGGGAAATGGTAAGATTTAAAAAGGGTAAAGAGAGAAATTAAATATTAATCAATAGGAGTTAGGCAAGCATTATTCGAACTTGTCGATATTTATTTTTCGTCTTCACTAGGAATTAAGTAGTCTAATTCAGGTTCTTCTTATAGACACAGATGGTCAAAAATAGACAGAACTAAGGGGCGAGAGAGTCATGGCTGCCCAAGTTTTTCAAAAGACTAGTTGGAGATGGGCCTCGTGCTTCGCCTGAGGTTGCCCACGCAAAGATGTCGACTGGCTATCTATGTTTTCAGACTCGGACCGGATATCGACTCGGTTAATATTAGAGATCAGGGGTCAATGGATTATATTAGCTTTAATCGAAGGTTGAACCGGATGATATCATAAATAGAAATATTTAAAAATTAAAATATTATATGCAAAATACCTAAGAGCATATTAATATTAATAAAGGTATATTCATATATATTTGATGTTTCAAATGTATTTAACAAGAAAATATAAAGAAATTAGAATGATCAAGTAGCAATTTATATTATTCAATGAACATTAACAAGTTTAAAAATAAAATTATGGATTTGATTGAAAAATAGTACCAAACTTTAGGACAATATTTATAAAGTATGAAATATTTGAGGCATATTAATAATTTTGAATAACTTAGGTGTCAAAACATAATATTGAAAATACGTTGATCCCAAGTCATTCAAAACATAATTTGAAAGGTGACGCTTATCAAAGTAGTTGTAGGACCACGTTACTCCTACAAAGACCAACCAAAACATAGGGGCCTATTTGGAACTTGAGTTTTTATTCAAGTTTGTCTTATACTAGGTTTTTTTTATCAACTTTAATTACAGTAACCTAAAAAAACTTTTCAAGGTTTTTTAAAAGTTTTTTTTTTATCTATACACTTCAAAATATCCAAAACACAAAAACAAAAAAAAATTCCTTCCCCTTTTCTTCTTCTTCCTCCCCCACCTCAATCCACCACCACCTCTGTTGCCAGCCACCACCTCTGCCACCGGTTCTGGCGCCGATCACCTCTTCCGGTGCCAATTTTCTTTTTTTTTTTCTTTCTCCCTCTCCCCCTCTTCCTCCCCACCATCCTCCTCCTTTGCCCGATTTGATCCTCCCCTTTTTTTTCTCCCTCTCCCTCTCCCCCACTCCTCCCGTTAATACACAAAAAACTTTCTCTTTTCTTCTTCTTTCTCCCCTACCCCGATCCACCACACCTTCATTGCCGACCACCACCTCCGCCGCTGCTTCCGGCACCGATCTTCCTTTCTTTTTCCTTTCTCCCTCTCCCTCTCCCCCTTTGACCGATCTGTTGGTGCTCCCCTCTCTTTTCTTTTTTCTTTTTTTTTCTCTCCCTTCCCCTCTCCTTCCCTCCCTTTTCCCCCTCCCCTCCCCTGCCACCCTCCCCCTCTCCCGCGCGATCGGCCGCGCGATCGGATCGCAGCCCGCATCTATGATATGATCAAACGACCAGATTGGGCAAAGGGGGAAGGGGACGGGGAGGAGAGGGAGATGGAGAAGAGGGAGAGAGAAAAAGCAAAAAAAAAACCAAGAAAAGAAAAAACCATGGCTGCAAGTTCTTTAGCATCGGGAGAGAGAGGGAGAAGAGGGGAAAAAAAGTTTTTCATCTTAAAAACTTTTTTCAAAAACTTCTACAGGGTTAATTCCACTTTGCACCCTTTAACTTTGGCCTCATTCCCACTTACGTCCTTAAACTTCAAAATAGAATACTCAACTCCTTAAAAGTACAAAATTCATCCCATTTAAGTACAATTCTTGACGGAATGTAAAAAATTAACAGAATAAGTGGCATATCCCGTTAACTAATTATTATAACCAAAATAATTCAAATTTACAAGGGGCATAAATGTAAATTCAGGAGGCCAAAAAATAAAAAGAAAAAAAAAAGCCTCTCAATCATTGTTCCCGGAGCTCCGCCGCACCAAGTCCTTCTTCGCCTCCAAAACACGATGGCCTAGGCTTGAATTTCTCTAGCACTTTCAAGCCTCAATGCAAGTCTTGCGATGTTCACGTCCGCAACACCCTCTGGTCCCTTTTCACTCTCGATGATGAGTCTAAAGTCACCACCTCTGCCAAACCCTCTACCTCTTCGTCTTCTTTAAATCCTCAACATTGCATCATCACCAAAGATACCCATGATGATTTTGTGAATAAACCTGTTTTTGAGTCCAAAGAAGAAAAAGAAGGGAAGCCTCAAAACGAAGAATATGTATGCAATTACAATAGCAGCAGCAACAACAATACAACAAAAACGAGTCTGATGAAATCACCCTTGTAGCACATCAATTTGGAGATTGTGGAACAAGAAGAGGTGGTCGATTTAGTCCCACAAAATCGATGAAAGATTATATAGATCTCGATTCTCAACCAAATAAGCCTTTTGAAGGAGGCAAAGTGAGAGAAATTGCAGGAATTGCCTGCAATTTCTCGTCTACTATCTCAGTGTTCAATAAGAAATGGCACAGTTGGAGGCGTAAGCAGAAGATGAAGAAGCCAAGCAATGGTGAGTTAATGGCTTTATTACCTGTGATGAAGCCAATTACTAGGCAGCACAGAGAGACTTAGTCCCAAATTGTGGATTTTGGGTTTGAACAACGTTTTTGTAATACTGAGCATTGGTTCTCTCTTGATGCCGAGGGGATTAGCTTTGATGATTCCAAGTACTTGTTCAACGAAACACGGGCTTCTCTCTGGAGGGTTGCATTGAAGTTTTTTTTTTCAGTGTTGAAGAAAGGTGCATACTTTTTTTTTTAACAGAAGAAAGCAGTGAAATTTTTATAATCGAAGGAAACACAAAATCGTAACACCAGTAGTGAATATATGAACAAGAGTTACCACACTCTACTCAAGGAAGAAACTCTAGTCAAGAGTTATGACAAAGTTATTTACAACACATTTTATTTGTGGAGATAAAAAGCTTTGAGCACAAAGTTGCACAAACATTCACTTCAACTCTTGTGGGCCTCTTCTTCAGCTTTCTTTTCAGACTTCTCACGTTCAGCTTTCTCCGCCTTCAGCTTTTGCTTCTCCAACGTCTCCCGCTCCCATTTCTGAATGTAGATGTTCTCCTTAGCACGTTCACTACAACAAAAATGATCTTTCCTGACATGCCTATAAGGACACTTGATGGTTTATGTCATTATAGCACTTCTATCATGACATTTGTTATCAACTCAATAATATATACTCTATTTTTATTTTATTTTATTTGATATAAAAATAATAATGTGCTTTTAGACTACTTATCATGACACTTGAGAAAATGTGAGATTCACCCAAATTAAAAAAAAAAAGAAAGACACTAAACTAAACGACATGGCTTGTTTTGGCGGAAGATTCATTTGCCATGAAATATTCAAAACTTTCAAATTGCCGGCCAAAAGACTTTGTCAAATTTTGCTTCATCTCATCTCTCTCGCAAGAAACACTCTCTCCTCAACAAATTATCCTCGGCAAATTATCTCTAGCCAAAACACTTGGAGTTTTTTCTACTGAATCTCCCTGCAAACAAACTTTCCTTGCTTTCCCATTGAAGGTATGTAATTGCATGGTAATTTTTTTTTTATTTTTTGAGCAATTAGATAATGTTTTTGCTAAATGTCACCGTAAAGAAGCTGTCCATTCTTCAAGCTTTCCCATTACTGCTACCATTTATTTCGAGCCAAACAAACACAATCCAATTGCCAATTGCAAATTGCAGCAGATGAGAGGAAAAAATGCTTCTGTACCTGCACTCGAGTACAACCCCCTTACTTATATGTTCGTGTACATGGCAGCCAATCACTATTTTGCATATGAGGTAATGTTTAAGCTTTTTTCTGGACATTATTAGCTATTCTTGAAGCTGTGTACTCTATTGTGTTGAATTATGAGGGTTAAGTTTCAAAGTTTGCCCTAAATTGATTACATTTGAGATTAGTCCCATCTGTTTGAGATTGAAACGGATATAGTAATAGTTTATGATTTGAGTGCACTTGTTGTTCAGCTTTGTTCCTCTCGATTGTCTACTTGATTCATGTGACTATTTTTGTTATGCACTTACTGCCCATAACCTGTTTGATAAAATGTGGCAACATAGCAAATGGACACTGTACTTGGTTGGCTTACTACTTAATATCCAGGTTATCTTGTGAGATTTTTGTTGACATATATATACACAGGTTTCCTTTACATATTACACATGTTATAGTCCATTGAAAATGAACATAGTGCCGGCAAATTGTTGACTAGCCATGGCTTTTTAGGTTGTCATTGATGATGCTTAAATCTGTGAATTTCTATGCAGCTAGAGAAGTCCTACTCAACACAGGAACTTTGCCATCTTCTAGGAACTGTAATTGTGAAGAAGGCATGGGTGCAATCTATATTGGGTGGGTCCTACTATCATAGGTATGGTAAATACTAGAAAATTTTTTATTACTTTCTATACGAAAGTCACATGTGCACACAGTGTGTAAACAAAACACAGTATGATGTTGAAGTTATTGATGCTGACCCTGTGAAAGTGGAGGAAATGGCAAAAAAAAAGGAAATTTTTGATGAAGATGATGTCGACAAGTTGGAAGACAGGCCTCTTGTTCTAACCATCATGGGACACGTGGACCATGGGAAAGTAAGCAACAAAATTTTTTCTTGTAGTTGGTTTCAAGAAGCATTATGTGTGTCGCCAGTTAATGGATCTTTTTTGAAGTCATTATGATCTCATCCCATGAAATAATTTTACCTTTCTTTGTTATTTGATTGTTGCCTATGAACATTTTGTGTGCTTCCAGTTAATTGATCTTTAGGAGAGTCATTCTAGATTTATTGTCCCATAACAATCTTTAGCTAATATATTACTGGTTTTCTTTTGGGTTGGCAGACCACACTTTTGGATTACATCAGGAAAAACAAGGTATGAATCGATTATTTTTATTGATGTTCACGTTGAGGTACATTTTTTGTAATGCCATTACGATTTGATGACTTTAGAAGAAGTACCTTATTCTGTCTTATGTTATGATACTTGAATAGCAGGGAACTAAATCTTAGACAACCTACTGTATGTGGCAGCATCTGAAGCAGGTGGAATTACTCAAGGCACGGGGGCATATGATAGGTTGCAATTTATTCATTTATTTTATTATTAATTGCCCCTATTACCTGATTTGATGTGGGTTTATTGATGGATTCTACTCACTTTTAGTATTTTTGCACTTATTTCAGGGAGTAGAACGGAAATAGGATAACAGGTGAAAATTGAGCAGAAAAGGGATCCAGAGGGCAGAGCTTGTCTCAGGGGTCTTTTTGGCAAAAGGAGTAGTTGTGCCCATTTTGGTAAAATTGCGGAAGAGGGCAGCGGATGGGGTGGTCTTCTATTGCTGGAGAGCCGCTGCAATAAAGGGGGGAAGAAGAGTTCAGCATGGGACGTTCTGCTTTTTCTTTTCCTGTTAGACTTTTTGACCAAGGAACTCCTGCGCATGGCAGGAGAGCTTAGCTCTAGACTTCTCCTTTGTAGTTTATGGTAGTTTTTCATTTTGGCTGCTGGACACGCATGACAGGAGAAAGGAATTGAAGCCCACTTTCTTTGACTTTTCCTTATTGTACTTCTGGAGTGAATTTGCTTTACGAATACTAGGAACAATTAGAAAGCTTCAATTGTTACCCGCGCCTTTCATTTGCTTTCCAATTGTTCGACGAATTGCGGCTCCTGAAATGCAGTCAATGGCCGCGACTCTGGCTGAAATTCCCCGCGGGCTTAGTTCATCCAATATGAGCTAACCCCCTCATTCTAGTCAAGAAACGACGGATGCTTTGATTCGCCTAAAAATTGTGAGATCGATTTAATTTAATCTTTCTCTTTTATTTATTGGTATTCGTGTATTCCCTGAGTACTATGCTTATGGTTACCTAATTAGTTGATTGTCGTGGATCCGGATAATTAATTGATGTGGTAATCTATTGTCAATTGGGGTATTAAATCCGTAATTGTTTAATTACCTCAAAATAGTGACAACTGGCACGATTAGATTCGTGTCAGGGGATACGCGGGCTAATCTAAAAGAACCCTGGTAGTGTGTTATTTGGTTAGAGTAGGGCTCCTCTAATACGTAAGGCAATTGGGGAATTAAATTCTACGGGCGTACCTAGGATTATTTCTCAATTAGAGCAGTGATTAACGGGCGTACCTTGATCACCGACACAGTAAGGAGGGGCTGGCTGCCATCGTTTGTTTGACAGTTATAACCTATTTATTGGTAAATAATTGGGATTGCTTTGCATCAATGATCAATTAGGTAAACCATTGCTGAAGTTATTACTTGGCTAGATCTTTAGTTAATATTTCCTTGATTGTAGTGGATTGCCATTTGACTTTTAATTGCCTACTTTATTTTATTTTTGATTGTTTCCTTGTTTTAATTAATTTAGGCCTTCAATTATTGTTATCCTGAGTTCAGTAAATTGTGGTTTAATTTCTAGTTAGTTGTTTATTTTTACTTTCTCATTTGAATTTATTTAATTATTATCGTTCCTACAGAATCACCCCCCTGCGTTACTTTGGATTTCTTAAGAAACAAATATACCCAGTCTCTGTGGATACGACCCTACTTGCCCTGTCTACAAATTCATAATCATTTGTGAATAGGAATAACCATTCCATTCGGGTATATCGGATCAAGCAAACTCTTCGGGAACAGGGTGAATCAAGTAACCCATTGCACACCTAGAGTCCCTGCTCCAGTACTTGGAATTGGGTTTTGGTCATTTTAACTGGCAATTAGGTTTAATTTTATTATTGCACAGGCTGACGACCTGTCAGCATACAAGGTACAAGTACCTTTTGATGGCAAGCCACAGACTTGTGTTTTCCTTGACACCCCTGGACATGAGGTAATTAATGATGTAGCACTGGTTCTAACTTTTAACTGCTTCTTCATGCAAGTTTTTTTTTTTTTGCTTTTTTAAAATTTTTATGTCAAATGCTCTTCTTGGAGATTTTGCAGACATATCTTAAAAGGCCTTTGTCAAGATGAATTATCTAACATAACTGTACAAAATGGTTGGATAGGCATTTGGAGCAATGAGAGCTCGTGGAGCCAGAGTAACAGACATTGCTGTTATTGTAGTTGCTACTGATGATGGAATTCGACCTCAAACAGAAGAGGCCATTGCTCATGCCACAGCAGCTGGAATGCCAATTGTTATTGCTATAAACAAAGTGCGCTTGCATTTATTCTGAGATTTTCCACTGTGTGTTGGCTTGTATATCATTTAGTCTCATTTGCATTCTGCTTTTGATGTATGAAACATGATGACAAATCTCCTCTTGCTCATGGGAGTTGGCATTTTCAGTTCTCATAATCACAGTACTGCTCAAGTTTGATGTTTCTAGATTTTTACATCATAGCATATTATCTTATATGCATTCTGTTTTTTGGGATAATTTTAAAAGTCCTTTGAGTTTCTGATTAATGGAATGTAGAGCAGGGAGCACTACCTGTAGGTTGCTTCTATTTAAAGAAAAAAAAAACTCCTGGCAATTAAAAGTGTCAGCATAGAATTCGATATTCTAATGTTGTACTATACCTATCCTAACACTTTCAATTATCAAGAAAAGAGATTTTTGTTGGTAGATGGGATGTTATAACATCATAGTTTTCCTGACATGTTGAATAGTATGAGTCTATCCTCACATTGGAAGGGACAACACTCGCCCTAGGTGTGAGGATAGATAAAGTGTCAGGTTAGATTTTCTATACTGACACTTTTAAATGCCGTTAAAGGCCATTTTTGTTGTAGTGGTTCTTCTTCGCTGAGGACACGACCTTTATCATCAGCGAAGTAGCGAAAGGCAGAGATTGAAGACGCTCGAGGAGTCCCCTCCATTAAACGACCCAGCCCACTACGTAAAACGACAGATCGCATCGCCATGGATAATGGATATCTTCTAGCTTTCTCCTGCTTTTACTAATGTACCACACTACTTGAATGGAGAGTTGACTGACTCCAAGAAAGGTGCATACTTATTCTTGTATGAGATCTACCATCGGCAATGTTGGTCTATCTGGATTTGAAGGCAGAAAAGAAAATAAAAAACATAAAAAACTTTTGCTTAATTTGAGAACTTGTGAAGGTGATATTTTTTGGGATCTTTAAATTTACAGTTATGTCCCTCACAATTTTCATTTTTTTTAAGTTGCGAAACAAGTTAACAGAATATGCCACTTATTCTGTTAATTTTTTACATTCTGTCAAGGATTATATTTAAATGAGATGAATTTTGTAGTTTAAGGAGTTAAGTGTCCCATTTTGAAGTTAAGGACGTAAGTGGGAATGAGGCCAAAGTTAAATGGTACAAAGTGAAATTAACCCAAAAAAAAATTTTGGACCATGGCTGCTGGTTCTTCAACGTCGGAGGCAAAGGTGGCAGGGGAGGGAAGGGGAAGGGGAAGGAAGAAGAAGAAGAAGAGAGGAAAGAAAAGAAAAAGAAAAGAAAGAAAAAGAAAAAGAAAGAAAAAAAAAGCAAAAAAGTTTTTTACCTTAAAAACTTTTTTCAAAAACTTCTACAGTACACTACAATAAAATTTTAGATAAACTTTCAAGAAGCTCAGGTGCTAAACGTGGCCATAGTTTGCAACGTGAGCATGAATTGCTAGCGTCAAATGGCCTATCAACCACACGTCACTTCAATCAACAGGAGCACATGCGCCCTACATCTGTAGCCTTTTGCCCTATGCCCCTGCCCGGTTTTACCCGTTCTTTTGGTTTTTTCGGTCAAACCTGATTTTTAACCTAATTCGACCGAGTTTTTAAGTTAATTCAGACCGGACACTTGATTGATTTCCAATTTGATCAATTGGATCAACCAGTCTAATTCGAGTTTAAAAACATGACTGGCAGTGCACGTATATGGGAAATAAAAAATTTCAAAATAGAAGAGTAATAATGGAAATTTAAGGAAACAATAAGCAATACAGAAAAAAAGAGAAGTAACCATTTACATAGATGAATGTATTGTGCTATCAGTCTAATTTCATTAATAAAAAGAGTATTCCAAATAAATATGGGTCTGTCGAAGGGTAGCTCATAGGGCATTCTTAAGATATATTTCAGGTGTTATTTTTTGAAAATATAAAATTAATTAGGAAAAAATAAATAAGTATAAGAGATGATAGGTAAGATTAAATAGAAAAAAATATAAAAATGCAAAAGAGGGTAATAATTGTTAGTATGTGCATCTACATGATAAGTTACATGAATGTTATGTATATTAACGAGTGCCCTGTGGACACCCGTTAGAAAAATCCAATAAATATAACTATTGATCTGGCATCCATTGGTGTACTAAATGTAGGAATCACAATTGGGAGCCAAAGCTGATACAGTAGGTAGATATAAGGTATATCTTATTAAGTAAGGAAAAAGAACTCTGATTCGTTTAATAAACAGAAAAAATTTTGATGCATTTGAATTAAGCAGAGTTCATAAAAGAACATATTCTATTAGCTAGTAAAAAGCGTGCCTGATGTCAATAATGAGGGTAAAAATTTTAGTTAAGTTTCATAAAGATAAGGTAATAAAAGACGTTAAAATAATTACGAAACAGTAAGAAATGAAGGCAAACAAACGCTCATAACATGAGTTGAAGTAAGTAAAAGGACTAATAATATCTGTAACCAACAGTTGCAGGGTAAGTTTTCAATAAAACTATTCATGTAAGTAATATCAATGGTCTAATTGTATTCACAAGTGTGTTAACGAATAAAGTAATTAAAGTTGTAATATATGAACATCATTTGTTAGCTATACATCTACATGCTATGAATAACAAGAAGCCAATTTTCCCAAGTCCAGCAGTGGAATGCAAAAAGACCTGAAAACCACACCAGTTTATCCAATCCATTTCACCGTTAGTAAGGACATAAAAGGAACACAGGGGCCTCATTGTAAAACAACACTTGAAAGTCAGGACATTATGGTCAAACAAAGAAACAAGCAAACCGTTCTCAGCCTAATAATCCAAAAAACCAGCACTGACCAATACGGAGATCCCTTTCAAATTAACCATAACGCTCACCTAGTTATGGTGACCACAAGGGGCCATGAATTACTCTGTTCACAAACTCAACTTCCCCCCCTTTTTTTTGTTAGCGATTAGTGATATACAACTCAAACTCCAAAACTCTGATCGCAAAAGATTTCATAGCGTGAGCGACCAAAAAATAGGGACAGAGATATATTTAAACTGTGGATTTGTTTGTAAGTACTATGTTTACATTATAATATTAGATATATTAGATCAACTTTTTAGTCTTTTTGAGATTAAACACACAAAAGCATTGGGTTATTATTACTTTACCCCCTTAACGTTTGGTGTCACTATCAATTTTTCTCGTAACGTTATCTTTTAGTCACTTTACCCCCAAGATTAACGATCAAATTTAACGGAGTTTGTTAATTAAAATGAAAAGACATGTTTAACCCTTAAACTTATTATTACTTTATTCCCATAAACTATAGTCTCATTATCAATTTACGTTATAGAGTTTTTTTTTTAACCAATTTATCCTACCATTAAACCAACTTAGCAAGTTAAAAAACTTTAGAAGAAAATACCCTCCTCTTTGCATAATAAAAATAATAAAAAATTTAGAGTGACTC